GTTTTGGAATTTATCTCGGTTCGGAGCTGCGGAAATGATGATGACCAGCAAAGGGGGTATAACGAGGAAGTCTCTAAGCAGTAAAAATTACAATAAGTACTTGAGAAACGAAATGGGAGAGAAAAACACCGAGTACCTACAGAGCGCCTTGGGTACGAACAAATGATGGGGTCTGGCGTGCTCGGTTCTCCGGTCAACGGCCAAAGTCACAAAACCTTCGTTGTCACCTGGTAGATATTCGCCGTATTAATTGGGGAAATATCCAAAGGATTTATGGGGGGAGATTCTTGTAACCGTGCAAAAGTCGGGGTCGTAGTTTATGTACAAGTTCTCTCGTGTCGTTCACACAGCTTCGGTTGTACGTGGCTATATCCCCGTTGCGGCCACTGCTTGTGAATAAGGTCGTAGATGGGAAGACGACCAGTCACTGGGTCCTCGAAGTTGGGCTGGGACTAAACCAAAGTCTGGTCCCAGATTGGGTGCAAAGTGGTGACTTTGTGGGTCGACAGATGAATGCAACGTAGACTAATAATATCGAACGGATGGAGGAGCGCTGGCTAAGCCTCAAAACTTTCTGCTCTCTTGAAGGAGAAAAGATGGGCAGCAAAAGTTGAAGAAGGGGTCAAGGCTCAAACCTGTTGACGCAAAAAATAGCCGCGGCCCTTCTCCAGTCCCCTTCTCATCACCCCATACGCTCGGGTCCGCTACTTGCCGGCCATCGGTGAAATCATAAATGCCTACATTTTTGCAGCAGGTATGATATAAAGTATAAAAATCGGTCATTGTGCTCAAGGTTTCTTATAACGGGTGGGATTAATGGGGGAATATTCGTTGCTGGGCTCCCGGGCGAAGCTGGCCGTCCGAAAAACCTTCGAGCTTTACAATTACTAAACTAGATAATAATAGACTTGTTAATGTATTAAATGGGATTATATTTGTGTCAAAGCTACGAAGGATACCTTGAGACCTTTACGTTTTCCTTGTGACTCCTCAATCTCTAACCAATAACA